CAAAACTTGTAGAATGACCTTTCCATTTCAGATGGAATGTAGGTATCAGAAACCCTATAATGTATTTATGTATATCGAACTAGTTAAAATGTAGTTAGGGAGTTTGTACTAAAATGGATTCACTGTTGAAACTTTTTCTTATCCATCAATAATTTAATAAAAAGAATTGCGGACTTCAAAAGTATTGCTCTTTTAAATACATACACATTTAAATTGTTGTATTTTACTGATAATAATTAAAACACTTCTCATTCTCAATTTATTTTAAAAGAAGTAAAGATGTAACATTATACTTATTAAAATACTATAATAGGAATAAAATATTTAGACTAATTATATAGGTCCTTCAATTTCCTGACTTTGAGAAGAGAGAAAGTATTTTTTATTAATGTATAGAAATAATAATTAGCGTTTTAAATTAAAGTTTTTACCTTTATAAACCATTTGTTGTATTTTTTGGCGATTATTGCAGGAGTAAAATGGAAAATTGCGGACCCAAATGTGGTTGAGGTATGGTTTTAAAAATAATTCATATTTTTTATATTAAAAACAGAATATTAGCATAATCGTCCATGTTGAGGCTGAAAATTTTATAAATTGCAATAATTATATTTTCATGACTTTGGATTCAGTTACGTAATTATAGAATTATGAACTCGGCGCGGCTGGCAAAGGTCGGAACTGACCTCGTGATCAGCCGCATAGAGATGTTGGGGCTTCGGGTGAGAATAGACAAGGCCGAGGCCCTCCTCTTCAGCGGGACTGGGCGGAAAGGACCCTCGCCGGGTGCCACCCTCCTCATAGGAGGAGGGAGGGTCAGGGTGAGTCCCGCCATGAAATATCTGGGGATCACTCTTGACGGAGGGTGGACCTTCATGCCTCATTTCAAGGAACTGGGGCCGAAGGTCGTGAGGACGGCAGGTGCGCTGGGAAAATTCCTCCCGAACCTTGGAAGACCCAGCGCAGCTTGCAGCCGGCTATACTCTGGGGTCTGTCAGAGTATAGCCCTGTACGGTGCTCCTATTTGGGCTGATCGCCCAATGAGCCGCAGGACCAAAGCACTGCTGCGCTCTGCGCAAAGGGCTCCTGCGGTGAGGGTGATTAGGGGGTACCGTACGGTCTCCTGGGCCGCAGCGACTGCCCTTGCCGGCGATCCCCCTTGGGATCTCGTGGCGTCGGTTCGAGACGAGCTGTTCGCCTATATCTCGGGTAGGAGGGCACTCGGCGAGAACCCTTCGTCGGGGAGGATCAAGCGGTTCATCGGCAGGGGGAGGAGCGCCTTATGCGGGAGTGGGGGGAGGACCTGGCGGAGCAGCCGTACGGTAGACGTACAACGGCAGCGCTTCGCCCGGTCCTAGAGCGTTAGATGAGGCGGAAACGCAAACCCTTCACTTTTCGTCTGACACAGGTCTTAACCGGGCACGGGTGCTTTGGTTACTACCTGTGTTGGACGGCCAGGAGAGAGCCGGGAGAAGGTTGTCATGAGTGCGGCGCTGCGGTGGACTCGGCCCAGAACACCCTCGAGGTGTGCCCGAGATAGGCTGCGCAGCGCCAAGACCTTGTGGCGGCTCTCGGCGGAGTGGACCTGTCGCTTTCGAGTGTCGTGGAGAAGATGCTCGAGAGTGATAGGTCCTAGCTGGCGGTGTCCTCCTTCTGTGAGACGGTCATGTCCACGAAAAAGGCATCTGAGCGGGAAAAGAAGAGGGCGGCTGATGCTCCCTTCCCCCGCAGGCGACGTACGGGGGTGCGACGGAGGCAATTCCAACGCCTCCAATAGCACCCCTGTGTTCCGGGCTGTAGTCGGCGTGGTAACCCGGCTCTATTGAAAGCCCGGCGTCGTCAAGGTTCGCCAATTGCCAGGTTCAATTGCCAGGTTCGCCTCCATTCTCCGAGGGAGTAAGTCCGGTCTTTGCCAGGACCGGCCAGTCGCTGGTGTACCCTGTCGCTGACAGATCCGGGGTACACCGACATAGCGGCCGATGGCTTTCGCAGTGGTTTTAGTGAGTAGGGTCCTGCCCAGGCCGAGCCTCACACATCCCTTCCGGCCCCACCAAGGCCGGTTGGATGGCTAGTAAAAAGAGTTTCCCTGCGTCATCAAAAAAAAAAATTATACAATTATGAAAAAAAAGGTTTTTTACAAAGAAATTAACTAGAACTGTTAATATACTTCAAAAGGTACATAATGCGTTACAACTCGAATATTAAGAAGACATCTATTAATTACTGTTAAACCAACAGGATATCACTACACACGGATGTCGTATCAATTAAAATTATTTTTATTACAGTTGGCCTTTAAGAATGATAAATCGGCATCTCACTAACATTATCATTTGATGCAAATAAAAGTTTAACAAGAGTTCATTCTGAATTTTTGAATTTATTTTTTATATTTGATAACAATTGGATAGCTAATTATTATACTATTCACCACTTCATAAAATAAACAAATATTTATTGCTATTTTATCATTTACCAACTTCTAAAATTGTACTTCTTCGGAAAAATTAGCTATTGTAAAAAAATGTTCATACAACCTTACCATTATCTAAATATATTTTTGCTTACTTTTAAATTATCCAAATTTGTATATTTTTTAACAAGTGACTAGTAAATCTTAAATTCTTTACAAAAATAATAATGAAATAATATAATTTTCTGTATAATTGACAAGATTACTGGCCTAAATGAAATGATATTATTATCGTCTCCGTCTTCCATGATACGAAGTATTATTATTATTAAAAAAATACTTAAGTTTAATAATTTTATAATTTCATATTTTATCTACAGCGTAGTCTTAAAGTAACCAAGTTTGGTAAAAATTAAACCTAGCATCTTGAACGCTCCAACTACTTATGGGTTAAAATAGGTAATTAAATTTTTTTACTCTGAAAATACTGTGTAATATTTGAATAGCAAAAGAAAAAAAAACAATTTAATCATCATTAACATATTTAATCGCTGATTTACAAAGTATTACAATTACTAAACTATCCATTTAATGTGTACAATTACATATATGCAATAAAGGAAACTCATTGTTAGTGTTATATTTATTTTATTCTATCTAAATTCTAATTCTGTATTTAAATTTTGTATAAAGAACGTGGCCAATGAGTTATTCATGATATCATTAAACCATTTTTCTAGATAGGGAAATTAGCTAAACATAATTTTCTCTTTCAAAAGTAATTAGGCTAACCCTTAGAAAGATTTATATTACATGTTTTTGGTTTGTATCATTAATTTATTATTGTGTCCGAACTTGGAGTACATTTTGTATACAACTATCGGTATCGCATTTCAAAAACTAATGTTTACCGCTAAGATAATAGCAAAACTAAGTGAAGATGGTTCCCAAGAAATAAGGTTATATGTGAACAGGGCATGTTCTTTTCAAAGAGACTTAAATAGCGTTCTGGTCAGGAAATTGTCATTATCAGAGGAAAAACCTTTGAATTCATTTTATATTATTCACACACCCAGTACGACTTATGTATGCCAGCAAAATAGAGGGCAATGTAAATAACCCAAATTTCTTAGTCCTTATTGAAAAACACGGTGTAGTTGACGCTGGGGTAGGTACAATAATTATTGAAATACATAATAAAACTTTAGTGTTATCAATAACGCACATGTTTGGAGATTTGACAATTTGGCGAAACACCAAAAATGTTAAAATACAACGGGACAACGCCACTTGCTAGAAATGAGTTCACACCATTCTTGGTTTGGTCAAACCAATTGAATCTCTTAGTTTGGCCGCCACATTCAAACAACACCAATCTCGTAAAATATATTTAGGTCATTTGTAAGAAAAACATCCAAAGAGATTTAATAAGCAACAAACGCGAACTAGCGACCGCGTTGAAATATTAGTGTATGCAGATTAGATTTTAAAGTATAGCCAACACTTTAAAGTTGATAGAGTCCAAAAATTTGGTCAGTTCCTGGTCTAATTACGAAATATGAATAGTAATATAGTGAGCTTATGATAAACTTATTAATTTTGTCATTTTAATACTAACAAAATCTTATAAACTATTTTATATGATCCAAAGGAAATGTTATTGATAAGGTCTATGAAAACTGATTCCGTAACATATTAAAAGAAAATTGTATCTTCTTTCATTCATTAGTATTGTCTCGTCCTGTTACCTTTATTTGTAATTTACAAGACACGAGATTAATTACAAATTTTATTAGTTCATTCGTCTATTGTGTTTCTTTTATAGTGGACGACAGATAATAAAGCGACTGAATACAAAAAAAAAAACTGTTTTTACTTGCTTTGACAATTTTTCCAAAAGGTGTACAAAATAGCGTTTCAAAAATGCAATAATACCGACAAGGCTCTGTTTATACCACCTGAAATATATTTACTACATTCCACATATATATTTGTCTATCCAATAAAGATTGTGTTTTATTTTTAGTCATACTCGTAAATTAAGATATAATTTAATATAGACGTGTAGACTACGTGATAAATACATTGTATAAAAAAAATTACACTTAACAGGTTCACAGTCCACAGCCCACATGCGGTCTGTAGACGGAAAGCACTATCAGTCCACAGTCCATATGTGGTCTGTTCGTTGATACAATTTTAAGGTTTTTTACAGCTATGGACGTAGGCAGAACGGCGTTTATTTGACATGAACTTGACAGGACATATCCTAGAGAACACAAAAAGTGCTGGGACATGGGGAAGAGATGTACGATTTTCTGAAAAAGTACATTTTTTTTTTATCTATAATTTTCATTTTAGACTGTATACAGATTTTACTACATTTTATTGTTTTTGCTTATTTCTATAACTAACTCGTCATAGGATAGGTAGAAAAAAATACGGAATATGAGAAAGAAAATTATTTATTGAAAAAAATAAGATATTTGAAAAAAAAAAAGTACTTGAAAAAGCAAATGAAATAAAATTTTACATGTTGTTATGAGCTTTTTTGAAACACTGTAGACAGTATGGTTTTGTACAAATATTACATATTTTGTGAAACTCGTTTGGCCTTATTGGTGGCAGCAGCTGCAGTTTCACCTTTTTGACGATGTTCATCATAGCACCCGGTACACCGACGTCTTGTCTTTTTTCCATCTTTTCGATCTAGCTCCGTGAGGAAATGCTGCATCTGTGACGTGGATGGACGAACATTTCGAATTCCTTGAGAGGTATTTTCAGTGGAACTCCTTAGCGGCGTAAGTATTGACGCTGACTGGACAACGTTTATACCCAATAATTTTTTTACAATATCCATTTGTGCTTGCAAAAGAGTACATTTATTTTGCTGGTTCAATTTATTGTACAAATAAACCGTATTTACTATACCAACTCCAAATAGCACGTCGACAGCAACTTTTTTGTACCATGTCAGCGTCTTACGAATCGGTGAATAGTAACTTGCTAACTCGTCAGAAAGATCGATACCTTTCTTTCGATCGTTGTATTCCAGTATCATATTGGGCTTTAGACGCTGGTTTCGGCCATTAGACATTGTTTGCTCATCTGCGTGACAAGTGGATATCATTAGGACATCTCTTTTGTCCTTCCATTTTAGGACCGTCACATTATTCTTCTGTGCAGCGATATGCTCTCCCCTGTTTAATTTCTTATTCTTTACCAGTAATGGCAAGTTTTTTCGATTTTTCCTCAAAGTCCCACAAAGATCTGTTTTACGTTGAAGTAAATATTCCGCTAACGGTAGACTTGTATACCAATTATCAGTTTGGAACTACAAATATTTACGTCAAACGTCAAAGTTATGATTTATAACTGTCATTTCGTAAATGATATTGACAAAATATTGCACAGACCGCGTGTGGTCTGTGGACTTAGGAGGAGTTTTTAGTCGATTTCGTTCTAACGAGTCCAAAGACCATATGTGGTATGTTAAAAAAAACGAAATTTCTGTTATGTATATAATAATAATAATAATATATATATATACCTACACCCATAAAATATCGCTTTTATTAAAAAAATGAATTGGACGTCGGGGGTTTTTCCTCTCTGAAGTTTGGACTGTGAACCTGTTAATACACCTTTAATTTTACCGTATTACAGCCATATCAAGTAGAGAGTTTCGTTTCAAGTAAAAACTGTGGCTTCTCGAAAACAAACGAACTTAGTTTGTGGACATCATTACGGAATCGTGAAACTTGGAAGTTCAGAGTGTGATTTAAACGTCTTTCGCTTCTTCTGAAGTGGTTTCATAAGGCCATATAAAAAGTACAATAATGATATTTGATTTGGCTAAAATATTAATTTGATTTTTATAAAAAAGTAAAAATGTGATTGACGTAATATAGTCTACATACCAGTTTGTACGGACAAAGGTAACGCGATAAGAGGTCATTGGACGATGAATATTTGAAAAGCTTATGCACTAGTTGAGTGGCAATAGAACTAACGATACTCAGGTAGGTATATTGAGCTTATTTATTAATGAATTATTATTGAAGTGATCTTTATACAGTAGAACAAAGTAAAACTATATTACCTAAGGTATAAAAATATTGATACGAAGTTTAATAGATTGAAACATGATAATTATTATTAGTCAATCCAATTTTATCGAATTCTTTTAAGAGTATGAACTCTTATTAATCAGAATACGAAGTCATTTGTAAGTAATATCAATTACTCTATGGTTGTAACAAAAAATTCAGGAGTAGTAAGTTCTTCGGTTTTTCCTTTTATAGACTGTTTTCTATGAAGCGTTTCATGATGGGTAAATAATTCAAACAAAAAGTGGTTGATAAAGTATCTGCTTCTTTGAAAGGAATCTTAAGTTTTTGATCTATGTTAATATGACTCTGCAATTTTTTTTCTATTGTTATAATACCCATGTGTAATGATATCAATCATGTCTAAAATATATTGGAAAAAATATGAAAAAACTAACAGGGTTAAATTGAAAAGTAAATAAAATATGTATTGTAAATGATCAGTCTTGTGAGAAAATATTCAATGCATAGAAGAAATACGTTGATACTATCGTTCTTCAATATTTAAATAATATTCTAAGTAGCATTTTATAACTTTCATATAAATTAACTTCAACATTTCTTAAGTTTCTTGGAAATATAGATGCCAATATTTATTAAAAGAGGAAGTTCATTTTATTTAATCAACTATAATAGCCTAAAAATCTCTAGATTTTTTTAAGTTATTTAAATCGAAAATTAAGAGCCACCGAAGGGAACCTATTAAAATAAAATCTTTAATATTAGAATTAAAAATGCCTTGCGCAAAATATGAATGCCTAAGAAGGTTACTGTATAGGTCGAGTTCTTCAATAGACTTTTGTCAGCTTTTTTGAAGAACAATACCAAACCAAACCTCTACTCCATGGCTCGGCTGTTCAGGTTGGAATTAATGAACTTTGACTGATTGATTTATTTAGGAACATATGAAGTAAAATGTAATTTAATACAAAACTCTATACAAATAAGAAAAAAATAATATTACTTGAAGATTTGTTGCAACAGGAAGGAAAATCTGCAAGTTTGCTCTAGGTAGAAATGTAAAAATCCAGGCCAGTAATCACGTCTTGTGGTATTGACGATCAGAAGGAAGTAAGATATTGCAGCTTGTTTCGAAAGGGATCCTCCATTTGACAAATATAAGTATTTAAATATATCATATATGTAGTTGAATATTTAAAATATATTTATGAGGGGTCACTCAAAAACCTTATAAATGGTTTATGTTGGTCTAGAAACTAAGCTATTTATTGTTATTGCTATTGTTATTGTTATTAACTTGAAATGTTCAAACCAAAACTATGATAAATTAGCAATAATTAATAAAATTTTGTTGAATTGTCAAAAGGCCAAAACTGGTCCTCTCATAACTTCACATATTTTAGAATACTTGTAATCTCTCAAATCGCATGCTCCCGTGTGGTACACTTGTGATGAAACTTGGAAAATAAAAACACTGAAACTATGGCAAGTAAAATTTTTGCACGGGGATTAAGTCAAAGCCTTTTGTCGAAAAGCCTTTTGCAAGCATAAACCAATATTTTTAATAGATTTTTCGTTGGTCATTTTTTTTATTTGCCATAGATTAAAATAAAACAATTTTTTTTATTAACCCGCTTTATAGCAATTGTGTCAATAAATATTGAACCTTGAACCTTTTTTCTTGATGTCGAAGGGAAACTCTTTTTACGAGCCGTCCAACCGGCCTTAGTGGGGCTGGAAGGGATGTGTGAGATATAACCTGGGCAGGCTCCTACTCACTTAAACCACTGCGAAAGCCATCGGGCGCCATGTCGGTGTACCCCGTATCTGTCAGCGACAGGGCACACCAGCGACTGGCCGGTCCCGGAAAAGACCGGACTTACTCAATCGGAGCATGGGGGCGATCCTGGCAATTCGGACTGCCTCCGGACAACGTCAGCTTTCACAGGAGCCAGGTTACCAAGACGACCCCAGCCTGGAGCACAGGGGTGCTATTGTAGGCGTTGGAATCGCCTCCGTCGCACTCCTGAACGTCGTCTGCGGAGGGATGGTGAAACAGCAGCACCCTCTCTTTCCCGCTCAGATGCCTCCTTCGTGGACATGACCATCTCACAGAAGGAGGACACCGCCAGCCAGGACCTATCACTATCCAGCATCTTCTCCGCGATACTCGAAAGCGACAGGTCCACTCCGCCGAGAGCCGCCACAAGGTCTTGGAACTGCGCAGCCCATCTAGGGCACACCTCGAGGGTATGCTGGGCCAAATATAATAAAGTACCTACTTATTTAATTTTAGAACAAAATTTATATGATCTAATGTTAGATCACAAAAAATATATACCTTTTTCATTGTCACCATGATAGTATGTTTTCTTTAAAGGATCTAAAGCTTTATATCTTTCTAGTGATGAAGACAGTCTTGCATATTTTAAAAGTTCTGTTTTCATTAGGTTCAAATATATTGGAACTATCTACCTATATAGACTATCTAATCTTTTTAAATATCTAAACTTTGGTCCCATTAACTTAAACCGTTTCCAAATAATTCGATAACTTTGTGATTGTAAACTAAAGTTTAAAGTTCATACCCTATAACATTTTACTCTTTCTTTATCGATTAACTTTGAGGAATCCTTATATCAATGAGCTCAATTTGTTTGTATGTATTCCTCATTTAATAGAAACGAATATAAATTCAGTTTTTCCCTTCAAATAAACTTTACGAACGACTCTAAAGCGCATAGTCAGAAAAGTCACTGAACCGTATCGAAAACAAATAAGCATTGTTATTGAAAATATCCGCTACTTCATACATATAACAATTTTTTTTTTGGCTGTAATACTGATTTTACTGAGACGAAAGCTCTCAGTATTCCGAGGATGTACCATGCAGGTGCCGGGTCCATCGCGTTTCAGGGAGAGTAACTTCGACTGTACCTGGGACTAGCGACCCAGGCCCCTCTCTAACGCGTGTTTAACGCTTAACTTCAGCGTCCAAGCTCCTTTCTCCAACTAACCAAATTTGAAAGGAACCTACTAGGACTGCCTAAAACGCACGTTACAAGAATGAACTGATGTTAGTTCTGGACAGTCTTTTAGTAGGTTCTAGAGAGATTTGGCTGTTATACCTCTCGTTTCTACTTCAGTTCTTAATGAGTTCATAATACTTGTTGACCTTGATGGCATGGTCTTTGGGGATGATGGTTCCCCAAGGAATAGTGAGCCTATTAACACAACGCGCTTTAAAATTCACGAATACTTAAAAATGTATTGTCTGGAGGACCACGCACAAATAACCTCGGGGATTTTGTATTGTATACATATATTCATAATTATAGTCCAATCTGAAGCCGCTTTAAAGATCTAGTAATGCTTGAAGTTTGATTTTATAGAACTAGTGCATTCTCTCAAACCTACTGATCGCTCGTTTGTGGTTATTTCCCTTTGCGCTTTGGCTACCGAAAAACTAACCACTTCACATATGATTTCCAGAACTCTATCGTGACGACGCAAGTATTGACCGTTGTTCGGGCGTACCTTGCATCCTACCAGCAAATACTTAGCAGTTCCAACTGCCTTTCCACAGATATAGCAAGTTTTTTCGGTGTTTTTACCACATCTTAATAAATTAATTTGGTCTGGGAGACTCATCTGGAAAATATTCAAATACAATGTTAGCGTTGTTCGCGACCAATCATGAATTCTGCATTCCTGAGCTCAATACATGAATATTATACATATTTAGAACTCGTCTTGTCAAATAAAAGTCTTTAATATATTTGTATCTTTGGCTTTCCTATGTGATCTTAACTCAACCCTGGTATTTTGTGCTTCTATCATAAACTGTTTATGCAACTGAAGTTTTTATTTTCTAGAGCAACTTTGCTTTTTGGGAGTGATGTAACGACGTCATCAAATGTACAATAAGTCTTTTGAAACTTTTAGGTGTTTATAGAGCTCCGATGGCCTTTTTAAATTGGTCCTTAAGTTATGGTGATCCCTGAATAACGCTGATGAATCAGCCAACAGCGCGAGCTCGAATCACAACTAAAACATCTTTATGATACTTGCATCTCATTTTGACAACAGGGTTTTATTAAAATTAAAAGTAAATTGTCTTCTTAAAAATATATAGTATAATAATATATGTATTTAATATCCGAAA